TTTTTTTTTTTTTTTTTTCGTTTTCTCTTTTGTTCGCTTTGGCTATTTGCCTTATTCTTTAAATTTTATTAAAGGTTTGATAATTCTTCATATTCTCCTAAACTTACTACTTTTTTCTTTCTAGTTAAATCAATTCCTTTTCAACCGTTGGCTTATTATTTTCAATATTTCCAATTTAAGTTACCTTCCCATTCAATTCGATTCATCATAAGTCATCACAAGTCATCGAAGTTCCTTTTCTTTAATCTTTCAAACCTAGCTTAGATCTCGTAAAGGTAAGATTGATGAACTGATTTTCGTTTTTTTAGTTTCTTTTATTTTTCAACTCTTAGTGTTAGTGTCGAAAAATACAAGTTAAGTCACATATCGGATTTTCAATCTCATTACATCAAGCCTTTTTTAGTGTCTTATTTTTTTTTCTTCATTTTTCTTCTTCTTCTAAGTTAGTTCGTATATATATGTATATATGTATATATATATATATATATCGGAGGGGCTAAAGAAGAACAGTCATATAAAAAATATATGACATTGTATATATATGTGTGTATGTACATATATGCATATAATTAATAGGAATCAATTGTATGTACGAATTGAAAATCAATAATCACAAATAATATGTCAACTGGGAATCTGCCGGATATTACAATTTATCAATCATTGATAAAATTACAAATTGGATTACTCCAATATTCAATTGAGAGTTTTAAAGTATTTCAAAATTTGGAATTTATAATAAATATTGCACAAGAGATTAATATAGAAGAATTCGAAAATTGTTGTAATATTTTAGAAAAGTATAGGGAGAAAATATCAATTTTACAAAACCCAAATGAAATAAATCAATTTTACTTAAAATTAGTTGATTTTTCACAGCCATATCTCACCAGAATATCACATTTCATTGTTAATAAGGGACGTCTTTTAAATTCAAATTACACTCCAGAGATTAATATTGGTTATAGGGATTATAATGATCTTGTTAAAATCATGGCAAATGTGAAAAAACATCTTTTTGAATATATTTTCCCTCCAAACCTGATTGAAAAACTGCTTTCAAGTTTATTTAATACAAACACTGAATTAAGGAATCATAACAGACTTATATATAATATCCCTGATTTTGATTATCTGCAAAAACATCAAGTAATAATTATTGGAGAAACTATAGAACGATACTTAAAAATTTATAATATTATTTCACCAAAAGAAGCTTACTGTTTCTATAATTCTTTGAAAAAAGAAATTTTATTTGATCCCGATCCTGATAATGAACCAGAAACTTTAAAATTACTTTCAGTAAATACTATTCTTGAAACGATTAATCAAAATGAATCGAATACTTCACCCTATTCTTTTAATGATGAACAAATTTTACGCTTAGACTTAATTGAAGATCTAACTTTTTACTTACATTCTTTCAAATCTTATTTTGATTTATTATTTAAATTCTTTCATTGTTTACATGCTTTATTCTTATATCATCATGAGTTAGAAGACGCACCGCCTGAATCAGACGCGTTAGAAGATTTAATCAAACTCCAAAAATATCTCGAGGATAAAATTAATAAATTGATCTCTCTCGGCACGATTGGTTTGAGTACCGAAAATTGCTATCTTGAAGTTGCACAATCCGTTCAATATTTAGCTAATAATTTTCTTGCTTTATTTAAGAATCTGCTGGATATTCAAACTTTAGCTAATTTGGAGGTTAAAAGTCCTACCGATATCATTTACAAGGAATACTTCCATCTAAAAAGTGATTTAACTCTGCATTGGGAATACATTGATTCAATCTGTGATTACATCAAACATCAAGATGCTTCCTCTTTAGAAATGTCCTTGATAAAACTGCAAGCCATTGAAATGAGCGATCTTTTCAGTCTCATCATGCTCTTCGGCCAACGCTTGCATTATGAATCAATAATTGTTGATGTTTTGCAAAGTGAATAAAAAGCTGCAAAAAAAAAAATAAATCTCCGGTGATCAACACAATAATCGCATCATCTCGAGTCACGTGAATGCAACCTCTCGTTATAACTTACTCTACAAAATAATTCATATATACGTTTAGATAAATGATGTATGTATATAATAATATAATAATCTATGCTACAATAAGTAAAATCAATAGTATGATGAGTGCCACCACCAATATCCCAATGCACCAGTCACTGGCACCACCTTTATTATTTTCTAAAACCCATCTTACTCTTCTCATACCTCTTTGTAATTTATTACCGACCACGTCCATTTCTTGATCTAAGTCTTCTAACATATAGGTTTGATCTTCTAATTCCGAGCCCATCATGGTGGCCTGCTGGTTCAAATTCTGCATGGTTCGATGTAAGGAATCTAATTGTAAATCTTGACTATTAATCATTTCTTGTTGTTGGTACTGATTGAATTCTCGATCTATTCTATTCTCATCCCCAAATGGTCCATTGTCATCATCCTGGCTTATTCTGTTTGACATGGTTGTTATTTCCCTAAGCTTCTTGGGATTATGTATTTTATCATTCCAATCTCGTTCAAGATTCTTTATCGTGGTAGATAGCTTGTGTAAAATCCGTTTACGATCAGCAATGTCCGATGAAGACAAATCAAATTGCTCTGGATTGGTTTCTGATATATGAACCGCTTGTTTCAAGTCCTCTAGTGTTTCTTCTAACTCCTGATAATTATTTGTAAAATCAATCTTGCTTTCCTCTGTTATTTTATTGGTTTCATTGATGAACTTCTGTATTGCTTTGACCTGTGACCACGAGTCTTCTTCCACTTCATTGAATGGATCCATGTTGTTGTTATTCCTGTTGTATTGGCTGGCTATCCTTTAATGTATTGGCCTTTTGCTGTCCATTTTAATTAGAAAAAAGAAAAACAGGAAATTCCCCAATCTTTGGATTTTTCCTGCACACTTCCAAAGAAGTATAAACTGAGTTTTCTATTTTTCATTCTTTTATTATTCCTGTTCTTTCTATTTCCCAAGAGCATACTTGAAGTATAAAAATGTCTTCTGAAGAGCCTATACAGGAGCCCAGTGATGTACCAAGGGAAACCAAAAAGGTCAAGTTGGAGGACCCAGTCGTTTCTAAATCCACAACAAATAGTCCTCCAGTCAGTGATGCAAAGGAACCACCAGTCCATGAAGTGGTGGGTGGGTCTTCCATGAGACAGTATTTGAATAAGCATTTGACTCAGCACTTGCTTGAAGGACTCCAAGAAGTAAGCAAGGATAAGCCTGAAGATCCGTTGAGAAAGTTAGGGGAGTTCTTGATCAAAAGAGCAGATGAGTTGAACGCTTCCGGCTCTTCATAGGCTGTTCGTTTGTGTATTTTAGTCCAATAGTTCATACGGTGTATTATATACTTATTATATAAAGTTATAAATGTAATTAACAATGATTTTTCACTTACGGCTTTTTCACTGAGTAGCTTCAATCAAGCCCTCAGATACACAGTTTCCCGCTCCGATTGTCACAGTTCTATAGTACACCATTATAACTACTCTGATAACTGTATTATACTTTGTTATCCACTCTGTCATAGACCTTTCTTCTCTGTTATCAACTGTTATGTAGTTATAGTTTATTATAGACTAATGTATACTGGTAAGTCTGCACCGGGACAAAAATGAGAAAAAAAATCAAATGATATCAAATCAAACAAACTTGCCATCCCTTCATCTCTAAACAAATCAAAGTAATGTCTAGCTCAGGCCCTAATAAGTTGCGGCCGTATTATGACCATGATACCTTTGATGCGGGTTATTCTGTGATTTATAAGCCAAGTGTCGGGTTGATTGATACTCAAACAAGTAGACCTATTTCGTCATTACTCAAATCGTCAGTATCTTCCAAAAAATTATCTGATGGCAGTGGGAACTTCAGCCCAGGGAAAAGTATTGGATTATCAGGATTTTCCTCGATAAAAGATTCAGCTGCAAATAAGTCAATTGGTGCTTCAGATAAGAATTATGTTTATGATTTGGAATTCCAAGAATACTTTGATTTTAATAACTTATCTGAGCTATTCAAAAATTTAGTTTGGAATTTTTGTAAAAACTACTTCAAAGTTGTTTTATCTCAACCATTAGAAATTGTTAGATTGGTATTACAAGTTGGTTATTTCAATTTCGAGGCAAAAAATGATTCTAAAAAATCTAATTCTAAAAGTAAGAATTATTCTCGTTTATTAGATACTTCAACTTCAACATTATCTCCTCAAGTTACGGATGTTTCTGACTCGGAATCAGAAGCCGAGATTAACTATTTCCAATCCACAAATGATGTGGCTAATGCTTCGAATCCTTATATACCTAATTCCACCCTTGGTAATAAAAAGGCTTCATCAAAAAAGAGTCGTACATTGAAAAATTTGAATAAAATTCAACCAATTTCAAAACATACTATTGATATAATGACGGCAGTTGCTTCAAAAGATGGTCCTTTGGCTTTATTCAGAGGAGTTAATGCTCAATTCATACATCAAACCTTATCTCATACTATCGAAGCTTGGATCACTGGGTTTATATCCCCATTCTTGGGCATTCCAGATCCCTTCTTTTTAGATTTAACTCATTCAACTGATCCTTTCAAATCTTTTTGGTTGTCTGTTCTGGCTTGCGTCTTAACTGGTGTTATTTTAATGCCTTTGGATTTAATCAAAATTAGATTAATGATTACTCAATTTAATAAACCTCTGTTGACTGATTCCCCAAATTCAATTAGCTCTCCAGAATCATTGGATTCACCTAACCTACTGACTCAGGATTTAGCAAATACCACCAATATTGATCAACCATCACCACGTACTAATAAAATTAATACTCGTTCAATAAGAGATTCAATTCGTAACTATCCTATCCAACTTTTATTGAGACCTCCTCCAACAATTGCTTTACTTACTATCTTACATCAATTTTCAACAAGTGTGTTTAGAAAAACTGCTCCTTACCTCATGTATATTAGATTCAATATTGATAGTTATCATTCATCAAACCTTTTCACTCTTATCAATTTGATTTTATTGATTATGGAATTTTTCATAAAATTACCAGTTGAAAATTTATTAAGAAAAGAACAAATCAATTTCTTACTAAGGCCCAAATCTTTAGAGGAGGATGAAAAACGTGTTGTCACAATTGATAATCCAGATGAAGACTTGATTGTTGAATACAATAGCTGGAACCTTCATGAAACTCTTTACGAAGATAACCTCGATGATAATGATGATATTAATGACGCAGAAAAAAAATCCATTTCTTTGATTAAAGCTGGTGGAATCACCGGATTTTTAGAAAAAGTTAAACGCTTAAATCTTTTTAATGGTTGGAGAGTCGGTGTATTGAATATCATTGGTTTTTGGGGTTATAACATCTTGAAAAGTAATAATAGCTCAATTGCAAGAGAAGAAAAGCTTTGAAATACTCTTTGACCTCCCTTCTATGAACCGTATGCTTTTAATGTCTACTTATCCTTCTTTTCTGTAAATATTTCAACAAAGATTGTTAAACTTTTTAGATACAGTAATTATTCGAAGTTTATACTTCATACTGGAGTCGTGTGTAGCTCGCTACTTTTTTTTTTTTTTTTTTTTGGTGGTCTTTTTTTGGCAAATTCTATTAGACAACTAATTAATGATAAGGTTTTTTATAGACTGAATCATTTAATTATTGTCTCTGCCTTCAATCGTGACAATTGAACAAAACAACATGTCAAGTATTCCAGGATTGGATGATTTTGAAAATAATAATCCGTTTGCTGAGCCAACGGTTGAAAGTCCCCAACAAAATACAACGATTCAAGAATCAGAACATGCACAGGAGGAAGATAGTATAACTCAACCATCACCACAAGCACAACCACAGTATGTTTATGCAGATCCTGACCAGTTACAGTACTCACAACAAGAAACCAATAGCGAGGCTGTTCAAGAGTACCAAGAACAATTAACCGAGGAAGAACTACGTAAATTGATACCTGAAAGATTTACAAAGAAATATCTGATTGAAATTAAGCTCACATCTATTGAAAAGAACAAGATCGGGAATCCAATATTGAAGTTTGATGCTGCAATTAAAGGATTACCAAGATTTCGTCAAGACAAATATAAGGATATTAGAAGAACATACAGTGAGGTTACCAAATTTAATAATTATTTAACCATATCTAATTTGGAAGTATTTGTCCCAGTTATTCCCCAAGCAATCACATCATATCCCACTGGAGGTGAGGATGAAACCAAACAGTTGATGAGTGTCTGGCAAGAATGGTTTAATAGAATATGTTCGAATCCAATCTTAATACGAGATGAAGAGTTTGTTTATTTTATTGAGAATGATTTTGGGTATTCAGTGATAAACTCTGGAAGAAAGACTTCTGTGGCAAGTGGATTAGTACGTAAGACTTTAAAGCAGTTGGCAGTTCCATATGATCCCTACCAAGAATTAGCTGAGTTTAGACCAATAATCAAAGCATCATACTTATCCTGTCAAAAATTATATAAATTATTAGATAAAAATAATAGAATTGAGAAACAGTTAGCAATTCATATTAATGATTTATCCATAAAATTAAACTCCTTATCACAATTTGAAGTCATTCATCCAGGTATGAAGAATATGTGGGAGAAAATATCAAAAATCATACAAATTCAATCGGATTTAACTCTTGTTGAACTGATTAATAACATGGGAACATTAGGAGATGGAATTCAAAATTTAATAAATGATTTCTATCAAATTAAAGAAGCATTGACTAATCGACATTTAATTATGAGAGAATTATTACAGGCCGAAGCACAAACTAAATCTAAGCATTATCAAGCAACAAAAATTAAGAATAAATCTTCGTTAGACCCATTCAAAGTTGATGAAGCCATAAGATCATTAGAATACGCAACAAAAGCAGAAGAGTCATTGAATTTACAAGTTAAAAGAATATCAGGAGAAATGATTTATGAAAGACAAGAAATTACTCAATTTACCGAATTAAAATTTCGAAAAATGTTGAAACTGTTTACCTTACATAAAGTTGAACACCACCGTAAAATTCTCAAACATTTGGAAAACATTAGATTAGACATCAGAATAATTGACGATAAGGGTGGATTATCGAGATTGAATAGAGATAATTTGACTAGTTTAAAACATAACTTGACACAATCACAATCTGCTAATGGGGACTCATGGACCTCAAGGACATTCAGAAGTTTGAATAAAGAACAAGAGGATCAAGAAAAGGAGCAAGATGCAGAAAAAGAAGGTGATGATGATGATGATAAAGATGTTGTTGATGCCAAAAATGCAGCAAGTCTCCTAGGGGTAGCAACTTTTTAAAGCAGAGTATGTATAGTTAGTATGGATTACGTTTTCAATTCTCTATTTAAATTTAAATTTGATGAAGTCATTTTTTAATCCTTTAATTGTAGTGGTGGTGGTACTTCTTTTTGAGAAATTTTGTCAAAAAACATACAAAACTCTCGCACAATTAGCTGCAAACTTCACTTCAACAAACATTTCAAATACAGAGAAATTAGATAAACCAATGAAAGTAGATACTCCCACGAATGGATGCACCAATCATACTTACAAAACTACAGATATCGTATAAAATAAAATATTCATTGAAGTTATAAGCTGAAATGCTATTCGTAGATAAATAAATAGACCGGCTTAGTTGACTAAGAATCTCTTTTCGGCTTCTTTCCAATTGATAACATTCCAGATAGCTTTGAAGTAATCAGCTTTGACATTTTGGTATTGCAAGTAGTAAGCATGTTCCCAAGCATCAATAGCAACCAAAGGAACTAAAGGACCAGTAACAGTGTCTTGGTTAGCAGTGGTAACAACTTCAAGAACACCACCGGCATCCTTGTTTTTAACAAGGAAAGCCCAACCAGAACCTTGAATACCAGCCAATTTACCGTTGGTAATAGAAATCAAGTTATCTAAAGAACCATATTGAGCTTCAATGGCCTTGGCCAAATCAGAGTCACTGGCTGGTGGTTCACCACCACCTTGTTTGGCTGGAGCCAAATTTTTCCAGAATAAACAGTGATTGGTATAACCACCACCATTGAAATTGATTGCTTTTTGCAATTCAATGGTTTTTTTAACTTCACCTTTAGATTTGGCTTCAGCATGTTGTTCAATGGCAGTGTTATAACCATTGACATAAGTGTTATGATGTTTGGTATAATGGATTTCATTAATTTGACCAGAAATATGTGGTTCTAATGCCCCAAAGTCCCAGTCCAAATCTGGTAATGAAACTTTGGTTCTAACAGCATTGAGAGAAGTGGCAGCCCCTCTTGGACCCATTGAACGGGTAGCAGTAGTTCTTAAAACTGATGAAAGCATTATATGTGTCAATTGAGTGTTATGTTAATTCAATTGGTATAGAATAGGAAAAGAGAAATCCATTTCAAACCTTTTTATTAGAAATCATTTTAAATTGCGATTAAAAGTTAAAAAAACGCTAACAAAACAAAAAAAATTCTTTTTTTTAATTAGTTAGTCAGAAATGTCTCTACAATTTTTCATTGGCTTGCGCTGAAGCGGAAGGGTTTCGGGACCGGAGTTTGCGCTAGTTCCGAGCACGAGTTCCGAGGGATGGGAGAATAGGTACGGATGTTTGGTGGCTACACACTCCAGTGATAGGAGTTAGAGATCAGGTTGATGAAGAATTGTTGCTATTGAACTATTTAACTTCTTAATGCTCTTAATCTTTCGGCTAACTTATCCTCTTTTTCCTCGGAAATGGTGTTTGCAGCAGGAGGAGTGGCAATGTCCACTTTGGTTTCATTTAATCCTTGCTTCATTTCGATACCGGCTTCATCAGCAATTTGATTCATTAATTCATCAACTTCTTCTTGTGGGGTCGTTAAAGCATTCACATTATTGGTGGCACTTTCGTAGTAGTTTGTTGAAGCATCTAGATCTTCAAATTGATTTTCGAATTTATCCATTACAAGCGATATTCTTTCCAAATTCATAGTTTGTAGTGCTTTATCCATACCTCTAATAACTTGAGACATGTTACCGGTAACTGATCTCATGGTGACTGCTGTTTGGACTCTGGATGCAACAGCATCGATTCTCGATGCCAATCGTAATAAATTTACTCGTTCATTACTTTTACGAATAGCATTTTGAGCGTATAGTTGTGCAATATCATTATTTCCTTGGGTTAATGCCTTTTTGGTTTTGGCCTTTTCCTGAGTCTCTTCTTTAGCTGCCTTGGCCGCCTGTCTGTTGAGCTGTTTAGCAGTAAACTTCAACTGGAATAATGATTGCTCTAACCCTGCCATACTATATATTCCTTTCTTCTTCAACAAAACAGATATTTGAGGTTGTCCAATAGTCTTATCGAAATCAAAGTACGGTTTGCCTCATTTTTCTGTTCAGGTACTTTTTACTTTAGGTTCGAGTCACGTGCACTACAGTCTTTTTAATTGCAAAAAAAGTTACTATGTATTAAGTTAGAGTATTGTCTTAATCAAGATCTGGTGATTCGAACATGTCGACATCGTCGTCTCTGTCTTCTCTTCTGGATTGGTTTCGGGAATCACTTGCTTGTGTTGGTGGTTGCAGATGTTGACCATTTGGCAGTTCTTGTTCAGCTGAGTTTGTACCTGGTTGGTCAACTGGATTACCTTGAAAATCAAATACTCGGCCATTGATACTAATGTTTCCAGATGCGCCGCCCACGGAACCAAGAGCTTGAGTTATCATCTGTCCGATTCCATTTGGCAAATAGTTCCTCATGATATTTCTTATTTGATCTCCTTGTTGAGGATTATTATTATTAGCTTGTGACTGTTGCCCAGCTTGCGTTGGTGAATCAGCTCTGAATGGGGTTCCCGGTCTATTGATACCTGTACCTGCTTCTGGACGAGGATCATTAGGAAATACTTCTGAACGATTACCTAATGAACCTTCAAAAATATCACCAAAATTATTGAGTAAATTTCGAACGTTGGGGGCATTATTATCATCATTACGATCGCCATTTCGAGCCTCGTTATTTTCTTCATGACTGGTTCTTCCCAAATCCAATCCACGTCTATTATTAGCATTATTGGGTTCGGTAGAATTAGTACCTCCGATTGAAAATATAGTACTGGCAGTAGTTGGATTGCCTGCATTACGAGCTCCAGTAGGTACTGCGTTATCCAAAGCGGTATCGAGTGGATTGGTTGGAGTTTGTAGATTGGTAGGTGCGGGTAAAGTGGTCGATGTACTTTCGAAACCAGTATTAGCTATTATATCTTGGGTAACATCTGGAGTTAAAACATTTGGCCTAGCTCTATTAGCACGCGATGCAGTTGTACGGAATGAATTATCATCATATTCATAAAGATAAGTGAAGTAAGAAAGGTCTTCTTGCAGAGCGTATGATCTCAATCTTGCCAATATGGCTCTAGCATTAGCAACGGTACTTTTAATTACTTCAGAGTCTTTGCGTTGTTGATATGCTCTTTTTTCAGTTAAAATCATTGATTGAATGATTCTCTGAACAAATTGTGGCATGATTGTATTCATTTTATTTTGACGATATTCTTTTTCAAAAGATTTTAAACTCCTAGGATCAACGCTTTTAGGTAAAATGTCACCAACCGCAGTTTGAAGAGCCGCCAAATAACATTTTAAAGCAGTTAGACTAGTTCCTAAAAATAAATGTACGTAACCTAATTGAGTCCATGCTGGAGTGAAAGTTTGATCAAGTGACACTGCTCTATTTAAATCTGATCTTGCCTCAGGATAACAAAATAAACCCATGTAGGCAATTGATCTATTTGTTAGTAATTGAGGTATGTTTTCATCGTCTAAGTTATCACAATATTGAATGGCTTTAGTATAAACTTCAATGGCTTGTGCATAACCTTGATTTTGCATAAGATTATTACCTTGTTCTCTAAGTTTCAAAACGATAGATTTATAGTTTTGATGTCTCAAAGAATCCTTCGATACTAATTTGAATTGTGATAATAAACGGGATTTGATTATTGAGTGAATTGATTTCAAGTCTTCAAAAGAGTCATTGGATGGTGGATATTGATTTTGCAATTGTTTCAAGAAGGGTACAATCAATTCAGCATTACCGGGCTGAAATTTTGTTATCAAATATTGGGAGTACTTGATAATAAACCTTTCAAGGCTATATTCATCATTACTGGAATTTACTATATTATTGTACAATTGAATCGCACCAGCTAACAAATCCTTCAATACAGGAGTGAACCCAGGATACTCCGATTTAACAAGTTCCAAGTTAACTTCTTCAGAGGGGGTAGGTTGAACTCTTTCCAAGATTTGATCAGTAGTTAATGTATTGGGAACAACAAAATCTTCATTAGGATCAGGTCCTAACATGTATTTGGGAAGTTGACGAAACAATGTCAAGTTAGCACCGTCACTGATTTTTTGGACCTCTTCTTTTCTGAACTGTTCTATAAGTTTGGAATACAATTGCATACGAACAACGAAAAATGCCAGAGTTGTATCATGGTCATACCTAGAATCATCTGCTGAGTAATCTAACCATCGATCTATGGATTCAATCAACACTTGATCCACACAAGAATTGACCTCAGATTCCGACCAAGCCATTATATCACTTATAGATTTCTAAAGTAAGATTTTTTTCGAAATCAAATGCTATTTCCATAAAAATTCAAAAAGCAAAGTATCCTTCACTTGTCAATCCACCAAATTTCTCTTTTGTCAAATGAGCTGAAAAGTGCACCCGTACATACTGGTCAGCTTTTGTTCCCGATCCCGCTTCAGGATCTATCTAGGGTTCCTATTGCCACTGCTTACTATCAATATTCTTTAAAGAAACAACACGGTTATTAGCTATTGCTCATTATGTTTACCAGTAAAAAGAAGGAACAAGACATGTCAAACTTAGGCTCCAATGGGAGCTCTGAATCAGTTGAATCGGTCACAATTGCCCCCAATGCATTATTTCAACCTCAATACTGTCATGATTCAGGTAGAATAAGAGCCTTTCTTCGTCTATCAAGAATAGCTACTGATGATACTATAAGACAACATTTGAATGAGATCAAACAGAGAGACTGTGAATCATATCTAGTGAGGAAGATTTTCCCACAATGGGAAGCTAGAAGTGAATTAATTGATTACTGTTTCAAATATTCAAAGAATTTAAGAAACTCTACTAGTCAAGGAAAGGCTGTTCCTAAAGCAGTAAACTTGCCTAGTTCTAATGTTCAAGAGAATGAGACTTCAATTGAGGAGCAATTTGATTTAAGGACAGATCCATATGCGTATAAAAGTCATCAACAACAACTAGAAAGTCAATTTACCCACTGTGATATGATTGATAATTGGATAAAGAATGAACAAAGTGTAGAACAAATATTAAGACAAGAAACCATAAAAGTATTTAATGATAAATGTTATCAGAAAGATTGGACTAAAGATATTCAGAAGTTCAGGTAGTAATTTATACTATATCCTTGTACATAGACGAAATATATATTGTAATTGTCAATTGTGGAGATCATTAACACAAAGTGTATAATACATAATGAAGGTCTATATAAGAGTGACATTAAAATATAGAGTGAATAAAAAGAATATCGTTAAAATAAAAAGAGCTTTAACGATGGGCAGCAGCAGCAGCTGCATATGCAAAGTTATTATGAGATTGAGATTGAGATTGAGATTGAGCTTGACCTGGTTGTTGATTATAAGATTTTGAAGAAGTTGATTTTGAGGAAGTAGACGATTTTGTATTTGAAGCAGATTTTTTCTTATTAAGGCTTGTTTTCGAAGACGATGAAGAAGACGAAGACTTTTTAACTGGAGTACTTTTTGAATTCGATGAAGATTTTTTTGAAACCATTTCTTTTGCAATTAAAAGACAATCAATCCAACCATGGTTTTTACCTAGTTTAACTTCTTCATTATGTTTATCAATTACCTTAACGTTATTTTTAAGTGATAATTTATCCATTTCACTTAATCTTTTCAAGAAAATCAAGTTACCATTTTCTTTGATAAGTTCTAAAATTAAATAACCATAAATGTCTTCACCATTTTCAATTTCTGATTCATTTGATTGATCATCATCCACAGCAACGCTTTCAAACTCATAATCATACATCAGATAGTCAGCACCCTGATTTGCTTTTAAATCAACCAACATTACATTTAAATTACCATCCACAAAGAAAACTCTTGCTAAATTAGTCACCACTGTAATAACTGGAACAGCTGATTTTCTCAAGTTGTAAGAGTATTGTTTAATTAATTTATCAATTAATGAATCATCTAAAGGTTGAGCAATTGACCTTTGAACTAATTTATTACTTAAATCCAGTTTTAAAATTGTATCCATCTTCAAAATTTTTTCATTTGGTTTAAGTAGAGCACTTATTTCTCTGAATTTGATACAATTTTCATTTATTGTTGGCGATGATTTCAAGGGACCGGTTTGGAGGCCTGATTTAGCAATTATTGGTGGTGATTTGGGATTACTACTGCCAGCAGTAGATTGAGAAGGTAATGCAGGAACTTTTGTTAGAGGAGCTTGACTAGTTGATGACTTGCCGTTCAATGGTGCACTGAGAGGTGCATTAAGAGGTGCGTTAAGAGGTGCATTAAGAGGTGCATTAGGAGGTGCATTAGGAGGTGCATTAAGTGGAGCGATAGGAGGAGGAGCACTGGCCATTGGTGGCATATTATTTGGGCGGATATTTCTGTTTGGAGATGATTGAAAAGTCTGTAACTGTTGTTGTTGAGGAATAGGATGATTTTGAACAGGTTGCTTATAATCATATTCAGGAGTGGAAGGGGTCATGCGATTCGATTTATTACTATAATTACTTTGAGGAGAATTTTGTAAGTAAGGATTACTATTTTGACGTTGATGTAAGGGGAAATTTTGATTTTGTAATTTAGAAGCTGGAGGATTTGGTTGGAAATGAGGTTGAAGCTGATTTGGAGGCAATTGATTTGGAGGCAATTGATTTGGGGGGAATTGATTTGGGGGGAATTGGCGAGGTAAAGGAGAATTTAATTTTGGCGGAGAGTTATTATTTGGGAAAGGGGCCTTTTTGATTTTAGTAGCAGGTTGATAAGATTTTTTAGCGCTCAATGATGGGATAAAGCTATATTCATTATTTGAGATTTGGGAATGTAATTGGTGATAAGAATTTGATTTATTAATATTTCTATCTGAACCTAATTTGACTGTAGGAACGATATTATTTGATTGTTTATTATTGGTATTTGGAATATAAGGTTCGAATCTAGGAACTTGGCGATTCCAAATATAATTTTGATCATTCCAAGGAACACCTTTAAACCAATTTGAATTTTGAATTTGAGGTATAGTTAATCTTTTAGAAGGTTCAGCGATTAAAAGAGAATCAATTAAATTCATTACATCTTTTGGCATTGGATGATTTTGTTTATAAGAATAATCAACGTTAATGATTTTTTCAAAAGTTAAATATTCCGTTGAACCTTTAAAAGGAGGAACTCCATAGAAAAATTGATATAATATACAACCTAGAGCCCAGATATCTGATTCAAAAGCACAAGTATTAAATTTCAATAATTCGGGGGCAACGTACTCGGCAGTACCAACAAAAGAACCTTTCCTATCTAAGTCCAGAGAAATTTCATTAGTTATCCCATTATAATCAATTTTTTCATTATCAATAAAATCCTGATTTGATCCTAATAATTTAGCAGCCCCAAAATCAGTTATTTTCAATTGGAAATCATGCCCAACAAGAATATTCTCTGGTTTCAAATCTCGATGTATTATACCTTTCAGATGGATAAATTTAACCGCATCAACGATTTGTAACATATAAAATTTCGAGACAATTTCATTGAGAGAACCAAACTTTCTTATAATCGACAACAACTCTCCATATTCTGCAAAATCAAGGACAAAAAACAAGGATGCCTCATCCTGGAATGTATAATATAATTGAACAATCCCTGGATGCTGTTGTCCTAATCTATGTAAGGTAGTTTTTTCAATATTAACATATTTAATCTTATCCTCTTTAACTATATGTCTTTTCGACAACACCTTGATAGCAAACGTCTTATTATTATGGATATCCAATGCCAGATACACCGTCGAATATGATCCTTCTCCAATGGTAGCACCAAATTGATAATCTTTTGCTGATCTTCTTTTTGGTGGTGGTGGGGTGGAATTATAAGTTTGTTGGGACATAATAAGTTTACTGACTCTCAATTGATCGAATATTCACCAGCAGATAACTAACAGCGACAACAGATTAAGAAGCAGAAACTAAAAGGTCTAAAGATGCTTTGATAACAACTCATTAGAAAGAAGGCATTTTTTTAGTGTTGTCTTTTTGGGTATTTTGAGTGCTTTGGGTGTTTTGAGGTTTTTTTTCTGTTTTTTTTTGTTTTGTTAGCGTTCTCAGTTTTTTTTTGTTTTGTTAGTGTTTTTGTTAAAGTTTTTTTTTTTTTTTTCAACTTTTGTTAGTGTTTTCTCTTCTTTGAATACCCAATTGGAGTCTTGGTGTTAGTCTTAGTGTTAGACTTGGTGTTAGTGTAGTGTTTAGTGTAGTGTTTAGTGTAGTGTTTGTCTTGTGGCTTCTCAATTGAGACCAGGTATTCCGATGGCAGGGGTTTAACAAGAAGCAAAGGCCAAACAAGTGACTCAACGTTCAGATGAAGGGACCAAGGTTTCTATTATCTTGTTGCCAGTGCTACAGCTTATCGACTCGGGCTACACGAGAGTACATTGTGAGCTTTGTATTAACCTGGTGATGGGATGGCGTGTTTGTGAATGCTTTACGTCATACCCCCGTACCCTCCCAGCAGACGGTATAAGCTGTCAACCGATGTCAGGGTGCAATTTGACATATTGACGGAATTGGTGAAATGTATATTTAGCATAGTACTGAGAAACAGCTACATTAGTTACATAGACGTACCAGAGTTGTATAGGTTACATGAGTTGCATGGGTTACATAGGTTGCATAGGCCACAGGTTCTAGAGGTTACACTGGTAGGGTTAGAGTTTGTAGGGTTAGAGTTTGTAGGGTTAGAGTTTGCTGAGCTAGAGTTTGTACAGCTAGAGTCTGCGGAGTTTGAATTAGAGCTAGTGGAGTTATGTTAGAAAAGTGGAAGAATTATTATTGTTAGCAGTGAGGAGGTGGTGTTAGCCAGGCAAGCTCTGGAGGGCAAGAGGACTTGTCACTGTCCGAGCTTGTCTTAGATTAACCCGGGAATCCTTATTTTACCAGAAAAGTATACGAAAAAGTATACGCGAATCAGCTTACCTGTTTTGAGCTTTTGGGAGAGTCTGTAACTCTAAAGCCAGGTCAGGCATCGATTAGATAAGAGTAAGCTTGATATAATTCCACCAGTTCAGCTGAAATATACACCTGATACTAGTTGTAAGTTGATGATATTATGTTTTGGTGTAAAGTGCGTGAAAAATACTCGACTGGAAATACTGAAAAATTAACTGAAAATTTTAATACTGGGGTTATTTTACTGATAATAGACTCAAAATGATGTCTCGCACGTATTTGAAGCGTGAGTTGAGTCTAATAACGAAGCAGAGTGGGGCCAGATACTTCTCGGGGACTTCCCGCAAGTACAACGATCATTTAGCAAAGATATTTGATGATCAGAAATATTTTATTGAATTCAATAAAACATTACATTCCAAACCACTTTTCAGAACAACTCCTCAGGTTGGATTATTCAAGAACAATCATTTGACTACACCTAATGGGCTCATTGAATTTTCGAAAAAATCGTTGATTGAAGCTAAAAATTTGGTTGAATCAATGAATTCTCAATTCCATCTTAATCAACAAGGAAAATTATCTTATATTAGTAAATTAGATGAATTAAGTGATATTTTGTGTCGAGTGATTGATGTGGCAGAGTTTATTAGAGTGGCACACCCAAGTCAAAAATGGATAAATGCTGCTCAACAAACTCATGAAATCATGTTTGAATATATGAATCAATTAAATACCAATGTTGAATTATATCAAAATTTGAAAGATGTTTTAAATGATCAATCATTAATTGATCAACTCTCTCTGGAAGAGATTAAAGTTGGTGAATATTTAAAAGAAGATTTCGAAAGAAGTGGTATTCATATGGATCCAACAACAAGATCGAATTTTGTCGCAATTACTCAAGAAATATCCTTATTAGGATCCCACTTTAATAATGAATTACATAATTTAGAAAGTTATTGGTGTGAATTATCCATTGAAGAATTTAATTCAATTAAAGAAACAAATTTAAAATATGAAATTAATAAAATTCAGTCAAATTTACCAAAAACTAAAAACTCAAATAAAATTTATATTCCTTTAACCGGTCATTTACCTTATTCAATCTTATTTACATGCTCAAACGAATCCATAAGATCAAGAATTTGGATTGCTTTACATAATTCATCCAACGATCAAATTTCAACTTTAAATTCATTTTTGAAATATAGAGCTACTCTAGCTAAAATGTTGGGTTATAAGTCTTTTGCCCATTACCAATTAGAACATAAAATGTCAAAGACTCCTGAAAATGTTATAAGTTTCTTACAAAACTTACAAAAAAATTTGAAAAATAAAAATGGCGGGGTTATTGACGAAATTAAAAAATTATATGAATTGAAAAATGATAAAACCTGTAATGATTCAAATGAAATTTTCAATAATATAAAACCTTGGGATCGCGACTTCTTATTAGCTAAATTACAATCGAAAACTAATCAGAACTTATCAACTTTACCCGATATCTCGAAATATTTATCTGTTGGTACCATTATAAATGGTTTGAATCAATTATTTCAAAAAATATATAACATTGAATTAAAACCAATTCCAACTTCTAGAGGAGAAACTTGGGATCATAACCAAGTCAGAAAAATTGAAGTGTTCAATAAGTCAACTAACAAAGAAATGGGTTATCTTTATTTAGATTTCTGGTCTGCAAAAGTATTACCTTCACATTTTACAATCACTTGTTCCAGATTACTTGATCCTTATCAAACTGATTCGAATGAAAAATTAGAAAAAATGAAAAATTTGGTTCATGTCGATTCAAATAACGAAAAACAATTACCAGTTATTTCGTTGGTTTGTAATTTTGCTAAACCTCAACAACTTAGCATTGGTAGGTTTGCTGGTGTTGATCGTACCACACCAACCTTACTTTCATTAGACCAAGTAGATACCATTTTCCACGAAATGGGTCATGCAATGCATTCGATGATTGGTTCAACCAATTTACATAACTTATCTGGTACAAGATGTCTGACCGACTTTGTTGAATTACCTTCAGTTTTAATGGAATTTTTCAGTAAAGACCCAAGAGTCTTATGTAAAATTGCTAAACATTATGAACTGGGTGAACATCTTCCAATTGATTTATTAAATCAATACCAAAACCATCGTATCATTTTAGATCAATGTGAAACCTACATGCAAAGTAAAATGGCCATGTTGGATCAAGTATTACACGGTGAACAAGTTGTGGACTTTTTAAATCATCAACTGTTTAATAAATTCGATTCAACGTCAATTTATCATCAAGTTGAAAAAAATTTACAAGTTTTCGCTGATCAATGGTCCACTTGGCATGGTAAATTCCCCCATCTATTCAGTTATGGTGCAGTTTACTATTCTTACCTATTAGATCGGGCCATTGCTGATAAAGTTTGGAGTACCCTTTTCGCAACTGATCCTTGGTGTCAAAATGCCGGTTTGAAATATAAAGAAAGTATTTTGAAGTGGGGTGGTACCAAAGACCCTTGGGATTGTTTGGCTGATGCCCTCAACGATCCTTCAATCTCCAAAGGTGACTCCAATGCCATGATCACCATTGGTGAAAATATTTAATCTAGTAGCATGGCTGCTAATCAAGTTTAAAAAACAAATTAAACTAACTTTGCCCTGCTTTATCAACTAACTTATTATCCCCTTGTAAATAGTTAATACACAATACATCTATCTATACACTTTGTGGAATAAATCATCCCAAAATCGAATCATGTTCATCTGCCAAAACTCCTGTTCCGCCAAAAGCCAAAACTAAATGCCTTATAGAATTCCCAAAACTGTCGTGCAACCTGGCCGAAACGGCGAATCCACAGGAACAACTCAGTCGTTTGAGTGGAAAAATAGCAGAAAATTTTTTTTTTTGGCAGCAGAAAAAGAAACCCGGAAGAATCTCATCGCATTCTTCAGTACAAAAATTGAGAGAGTCTTCTGATGGTGGACAATAAATATAGTGGAGATAATCTTATGAGGCAAACTTGCTGTCTATTGTATTTTATTGGTTCCGATAAGTTCTCCCTGTTATCTTGTAGCACAGTAGTCATCCTGCGGTCAAGCGAATGTAGTCAGCTTGTAGCGGTGCTTTTTGTCATTCTTTTCATCTTGGTGGAGCTATTTTCTTTCTTTCTTTTTCTGATTTTTTTCTTTTATTTATTTATTTCAGTATTCTATAAAGCTTTTGTTATACCCTTTTCATTTATAATTATCTAAATTTCTTTCTACCTTTTTGTTTTTCTGTTTCCTATATTTTTTTTTTTTTACTTTGGCCTTTTTTGTCATTCATATATCCTGTTAAATAAATCATGAACAAGGATATTGAGCTAAACCCAATAGTGTCGGAAGTTAAGCAGGAGGGTGCTTCTGTTCACTCAGAAACACCCTACCTTTCAAATGAGTCAAATGCTAACATGACTCGTTTTGAAAAATTTAAAGATTCTTTCAAAAGACAAAGTTCTGAAGAAGAACAAGTTGGTAAACAATTATCAAAGTCCATTAGTCAAAGACATTTGATTACCTTAGCACTTATCACCGGGGTTGGTACCGGTTTGATGGTTGGTACTGGTTCTGTTTTACATAATGCTGGTCCATCTCAATTAATTTTAGGTTTTGCCATTGTTGGTTCTTACCTTTATCCTACTTTACAAGCTGCTGGGGAGTTGGCCATTAATTACTCTGATTTGAGTGGTGGGTTTAATTACTATCCACGTATCTTTGTTGATCCCTCTCTTAATTATGCTGTCAGTGTTCAATATGCCGTTCAATGGTTATGTGTTATTAGTGTGGAGTTAGTCACTGCTGCAATGACAATTCAATTTTGGGATGTTCATCAAAAAATTAATCCTGACGTTTGGGTGGCCATATTATTTATAGTGATTGTCAGCATTCATTTGATTGGTGCAAGAGGTTATGGTGAAGCAGAATTCATCATTGGTTGTACCAAATTAACAATGTTATGTGGATTTATCATCATGGGTATTTGTGTTACTTGTGGTGCTAATCCAAGACATGAATTCATTGGTGGTTCTCTTTGGGTTGATCATTGGAATTTCAAAGGTTTATGTAGTGTTTTTGTCACTGGTTCTTTTGCCCTTGGTCAATCTGAATTTATTGCATTAACCGCTGCTGAACAAAGTAACCCAAGAAAAGCCATTCCAATGGCTTGTAAATTGATTTTATGGAAAGTTTGTATCTTCTTCCTTGTTTCTTTATCAATGGTTGGTTTGTTGGTTCCTTATACCTCTGATAGATTAATGGGTAGTGCTGGTGGTAAGAATCATGCCTCTCCTTTCGTTCTTGCTGCTCAATTACATGGAGTTAAAGCTGTTCCTTCAATCATTAATGCCGTCATTTTATTATCAGTCACTTCTGTTGCATCTTCGGCTTTATACTCAGCTTCAAGAACTTTACAATCTTTAGCAGAACAAGGTTCTTTCCCATCTTATTTCAACTATATCGATAAACGCGGTAGACCTTTAAGAACCTTAATCTTCTGTTCAATTTGTGGTATTTTCTCCTTCATTGCTGCCTACAAGAAACAAGAAACTGTTTTCGCCTACCTTTTATCTATTTCAGGTTTATCTCAAATTTTCACTTGGAATATCATTTGTTTATCTCACGTTAGATTTAGAGCTGCATTGAAATATAATAATATCAGTACTGATTCCTTAGGTTATGTTTCTGGTACTGGGGTCTGGGGTTCTGTTTATGCCATCATTTGGCACTGGTTGATTATTATCGCTCAATTCTGGATTGCTTTATTCCCAGTGGGTTCAAGCAAACCTAGTGTTGAAAATTTCTTCCAAAACTATTTGGCTCCCATCTTCTTTTTAATCTGCTACATTGGTCATAAAATATGGACTAGAAATTGGAGATTATTTTATAGAGTCGATCAAATCGACGTCTATACCAATCGTATCTTATTTGATGAAGAAGTTTTGAATTTGGAAAGAAAAGAAGCCAAAGAACAATTCTCTCATAAACCTTGGTATAAGAAAATCTTCCACTTCTTATTTCAATAAGTTTTTTATGTTATACGTTTATACTTGATGATTATATTTTAATATTTATTTAATGCCTAAAATCCATGTAGTATGCGCTGACTGAACTTTTGCTTCAGTAATCGTGAGTTGATTGTCCTCACCAAAACTTTCCATACTTTTTTTTTTCTGATATTGAAAAATTTCACCAAGAAGTATTAGGTATTCGTTATAGTGACTATGAAGCGGGTTATACAAAGGTCTTCGAAATGTGTAATACCTCGTCGGTTTGCATCAGCCAAAGCAACGTCATCTTTGAGAAGAGCAGAGCCAAACATCAAAGAAATAATCGAAAACAAACAGGTTTATGAAGAATCGATTAAGAGAAGATGCACTAATCGTTTGGAACCTCTCCAATACATTGTTGAGAACCGTGAAAAGCAACAGGATATTTTTAAAGAGATCGAAGGTTTAAAGCGTAAAAGAGCGGAATATAGTAATGAATCAATGAGAAGAAAGAAAGGTGGAAACGAACATAAATTATCTATTTCTGATGATGATCTAGTGAAAGAATTGAAAGAGATCAAAGGAAAATTAAAGGACTTGAGCTCACTCAATGACAGTTTAACCTCCCGAATCTATGATTCATGGGATGAAATACCAAATACGTTGGATCCATCAGTGCCTGTGGATCCAAATGAGGGCGAAATTGTTGAATATATAAATTTCAAGGCTAATGAAGATATTAAAACGTTGACACCTAATAAAGAATTTGACCATAAGACTATAGTTGACAAAATGGGGATCGCAGACTTTAATAAAGCTTCAAGAGTTTCAGGATTCTCGTGGTATTATTTACTAGGTGATGGTGCATTATTAGAACAAGCATTAATCCAGTATGGTTTATCTAAAGCTCGTAAGCATGGTTATAAGATGATAACTCCTCCAACGCTAGTGAAGAAAGAGATAGTGGAAGCATGTGGTTTCAAGCCTAAGGGAACCAACGAAGCAAAACACATTTATGATATCGAGAATCAAGATTTATCGTTAACTGGTACTGCAGAAATTCCATTAGGAGCTTTCCATTCGAACGAAGAATTAGAAGGACCATTACCAAAGAAGTATGTCGGTATCTCAAGGGCTTTTAGAGCAGAAGCTGGTGCAAGAGGTGCAGACACAAAAGGATTATATCGAGTTCATGAATTCAACAAAGTAGAATTATTCCATTTCACAACTGCTGAAAACTCAAAACAAGAATTAGAAGACTTGAAAGAGTTTCAAACCGAGGTTATCAAAGAATTAGGGATCAAAGCTGTAATGATTAATATGCCATCAAGTGACTTAGGTAACCCAGCTATGAAAAAATATGATTGTGAAGCTTGGATGCCTGGTAGAGGTGCTTTTGGTGAATTAACCAGTAGCTCGAATTGTGGAGATTATCAATCGAGAAGACTAGGTATCAAATATAGACCTAGTCATTATGAGAAGTTGCAACATGCTCATACCTTAAACGGTACTTGTATTGCAGTACCAAGGGTTATAATTGCCATTATCGAGCAGAATTTTGATATTGAAACAAAATCAATAAGAATCCCCGAAGTTTTAAAACCTTGGATGGATGGTAAAGACAGAATATACCCTCAAGAAGGATCAGAATACGCAATTACAAAAAACTAAATAACTTGTAAATAGATTACATGTAAATATATAAAATAAATCGAGTACTAGAACAATTCATCATCTGAGTTATTTGAGCGGATTTCAGTTAAATCATTAACAAAAGAGTTTTTGCTATTTTGTTGTTTAGAAACCGGACTGCTCATGACCCTTTTTCTAGGGCTTGTAATTTGAGATTCTGATTGAGGTAAATAAGGAATATTATCCATTTTATAATGATGAAGCTGTTTGACTTTACTCAATTTAGATAGCGGGTTCTCCAACGATTCGGAGTCTGTATTAGCCACCGAAGAAAGTTTCTTGGTTAAAGCATTTGAGTTTTCTGAGAGTGATTGATACTGGTTTTGAAGATTTTTCAAATCATTATATTTATTCTCGTAATTTTTACAAAGAGATTCATACTTTGATTCGAGACTATTATATTTTTGCTGCAAAGATTCAAACTTGAGTTCTAACTCCATATTTTCACCATTTTGCTTGACGCTTTTTGATAACTGGGAGATTTTATCGGATTGCTGTTCCACAAGGTTTAAGAGAGCAATTATTCTATCTTGTGACGTACTTTCACTCAAGTCGGACAACTTGCTCAAAATAGGTTTTGTTATTTGGTCTGGTTTCAATGACGTGTTTTGAATCTTATCTATAATCGGGTCGGTTATCGATTTGGAATCGGACATTTTCTTTAGTATAGGGTCTATTATGAGTTTAACAGTGTCTTTTGAGAAGAGATACTTATCCAACTTCTCTTGATCTATACCTATCTTCTGTAGTTCTGCAGTTGTTCGGTTTATTATATCATCGGAAGAAGATACTTGAATCTTGGATAATTTCTTATCTAACAACTCTTCTAGTTCATCATTCTTAATGTTATCAAGGGAATCTTTAATTTCTTCTGCCAAAGTCAACAATTTTGTATCCAACCCCTCTTTGGAAGTTAGATTGGTTAAACTTTTATTGAAATCGTCGAGCCTGGTCATTATATTGGTTATATCGTTTTTGGTGGCGTTTCCTTCGGTTACAACTTCATCCGAGTACGCAGCAATGTTCTCTAGTAACTTGTTAAGGTGGTGGTTGTTATTCTTCAGCCTATCCACCAATTGACCTAAATCAACCTTCGTTTGAGCCGTGGTGGTTTCCAAAGTACCCAATTGTTGTATAATGTCATTGTGGGTGGTGTGGATACAATTGAAATGTTCATCTATATTATCACTTTGTAAAAAACTAAGCTTCCCAACCGAGTTTGGTTTATTTGGAGAAACTGGTTTCAATGCCCGTTTGGGTGATGATGAATTGGAACTCCTAGTAGGAGTTTGTGGAGACTGGTTCTCTTTTCCGTAACCGCTTGTTCCTGTTCCTGACATATTTGCGTAATCCTACTGCTTGACGATGCAACACTAGTTTCACCTCTCAAGTATCGGTTGATTCGTCAAAAGTTTTTATCAAAACTCACTCTCTTAGAATCCGTTGATGTTTTCCTATTACCGCATTAGTGCCCGAGTATCAAGATAAAGGCTGCATTCTTCATCTCACTTCCGGGGCCTCGTCACATGTCCACCCTCACCATTTCCGGTGGGCTGATTCACCATCGTGCGCGACTCAGAATCACTTCAAGGGCATGCACGTGACTCGCAGGACAATCTTTTTTGTCTGACTCTGATTCATTTTGAGTCAAAGACTCACTTGACTGCTAGTCATCCGGCCCGTACATCAGACATTCCTCCCACTGGCACTCAAAAGGCATTCAGCCCGGGCCATTCCTACAAGAACTTCTGGGGTTAAGGGGCAGAGGAGAAGGCCATCCACCAACCAGATGGATCCGCGAGTGCCTGGGGATGCCACCCTATGCTCGGGCTGCTATGTTAGCCCCACACCATGAAGCCAAACAATAAAGTACCAGGAGTTGAGTAGCGAGAAAACCCGGGACTGAGAACGGAATACAACAAAGGAAATCGGAGCACAACAGAAAAAAGAAAGAGTGGATAAATGGTCAAAAGAGTCACAATGACTAAAAGTGAAGTCATTTTGAGAGGAAGAACAAAAAAAAAAAAAAAAAAAAAAAAAACGAATCATCCTAACAGTTTCTTCTCTGATTCATTTACACTTCTTGGGCCGTTCCAATAGAATGAAAGCTAGCCATGTCTGCCATCACTGAAAATGCATCGAATCATCGCTCCCAGTCCCCTGGTAACGTTCTGAATTCTGGTGAGAAAGATAAGTCCCACGGAGTGACTCACACTATAAGAGAACGACTCAATTTTCTTGATGAGAGATTATGGAAAAGATTCAGTGCAAGAAGATTAGAGCTCATAGATACGTTGGAATTGAGTACTCGTAAGGCGTCTGAGCAAGAGCTGGAGATCTCGAATGTTGCCGAGACATTAAGAATTGAGTTTGGCTTTGGGCCTGATTCATTTTCTGATTTTGATCGTTTGGTTAGGGCTGCAGTTCAAAGTGTCAGAAGAAATCGTAAAAGAGCAACCAAGTCAAAGAGGAATATCAGGGACGACACTTATAAGGAACAGAATAAAAGAATCAAAAGGGACCTGGAGTCAAACACATTATCTCCTGAAGATCCATTAACTGTGGATCCGGTATCAGTAGCTGCCACTGCTCCATACGCGTTAAATGATTCATTATCATCAAAAAACCAAAATCATGATAATACTGTTGAACACCTATCTAAGTATAAGTTTATGTCAGAAATATGTAAACTTAATTCTGATTCTCAAGATGAAAAATCCGACTATTCAAAAACAAAGCATTTTACGGTTCAAGATAAATCCCGAGAAGCAATAAATGCCATCATTCAACCTCGTCTAACTAAGTTAACACCGTCACAACCATCTCCTTCTTATGATTTGCGTCCCAAAACTTCAGCTCCCACTTTGCCTCCATTAGGTAATTTGAATATTCGAAATTCTCCTCAAATAAATATAAATAATAACAACAATAACAAAGCTCCCTTTGAGAATGAGACTCAATTCATACCAAGCTCGAATATATTTGATCCTTCTGCTAATTTAGCTCTATTAAATTATTTTGAAAGATCCAAGACTTGTTCTGAAGCTGGTCATGCTAAAAATGTTTCAAATTTAGAACATTTAGGTAAAAGTGCAATTGGATGTTGTTCTGCATTCATTTTCGAAAAGTCCTTTTTAACTGCTACCCATTCATCAGTTGAGTATCTTCGTTCAAAATTGAATGATACCCATTATATTTCGAATTTTTATAAATCCCTTGATCCTCATTCCTCAGTGGTTTTCGGTCTTAATGATGAAACTGCTGTAACAACTTTGTACACTTTAATTGGTGGTTGCATTAAAGATTTTGGTTTTGAAACAATCATGTACACTCTCTGTGAAGCTTTCTACCAAAGATTAACTCAAGATTATCCTTTAATATCAAAACACTCAATCCCTTTCAAAAGTTATAATTATTTGTATAATAAACCTCCACTAAATGATAATAAGAATAATATCACCCAAGATGATCATTTACCGGATTCTTTGACTTCCTTAGCTGAAGTAGCGTCCGAATTACAAGATCAATTGAAACATCAACATAATTTCGGCACAATCACACCAGTTGCATCCCAATCATCTCAACAGTCTCCTTTACCTCCAGATTCAGTAAGCTCATCCACGCGATCTAGCTTCCTAAAAGGAGGAGCCAGAAAAGCCGTGTTTTTAAAATTTCTTTCGCAACAATTAGAGTTTAGTTATCCAACTTCAAATTCCGCCCCTCCTAAACTCTTAGAATTGTTGGAGAATGCAAAATCTGCTTTTAAGTTGACGAATAGTAACGATTCTAGGATCTTGGGTTTGAAAAATTTAAAAACTGGTCAAATATTGTCATCTGATTCAGATTTAGAAAAAATTTTTAAAACTAATGATAATCATATCGAATTGGAAATTTTCACCCAAAGCTTCAAAGCAATCCCAATCTATGAAATCACTTCGGCGATCATTCCAAGCAGAAAATACAATGATGATTCTCCCAAAATCATCTTACCACCTCCAATCAATAATGCATCTCCTCCTATCCCTCCACCTAACCCGACAACCATAAAGACTCCTTTGGATTCGATCGTGAGACCAGAAGGTGGTTTAAGATTTCTTTCCAACCAAGAAGATCTGCCTCCTTCAAGACCTCCTCCTCCTCCTCCTGCTGCTCTGCTTCCCAAGTTTCAACCACTCCTATAATGTTTTCATGTTTCTATTATTTTATTCTTCTGTAAATCTTAGTGTAATATATTTAAAAGTTTGTGATTAATATACATAAGTCTTATAATCTTATTCTATCTCCTTTAACCAATATCATACTTAAAGTATAAATGTTGCTAAAAACCCAGACCCAAGTTAATCAAATCTAGACAATAAAGCACAAAAACTAACTGCGCAAAAAAAAAAGTTATTATATGAATTTGTCCATATAAAGTATTTTCAGTATAAGACGTAGCATAAGAATCAGCATAAGAATCAGCATTACCTCTTGGTCATGATCAACTCATATGCCGATGATGGAAAAGGCAATACAGGACATAAGGATATTCACGATATTCATCTGAATACACAGTTGAATTTGCTACCCATGATATGGGATCAGAATACCAATAACCATGAAAACCAAAACCAGACATCACAAACTGTTAGCGAGTACAGGGGAAATATACTAGATAAAGGTCTAGATTTGAATAGTAATGGACAATATCCCCAACTAGTTTTAAAGGCCATAAATCCTCGTCCGCAGTATGTGCCCCCATTGAACTTTTCTTTGGTTGAAGGAAGCATCTATAGATCAGGTTTCCCAATGCCTATAAATTACCCATTTTTAAAGCAATTAAGACTCAAAACGATTATATATTTGGGGGACTTGGGCCTAGAGAAAAAATCTAAGAAAGATAAAAAGAAGAATAAAGATAAAGAGGGAGAAAAGGAAGAAGACAAGGAAAAGGGCAAAGATGATAAAGAATCTGAGGGTAATGATGAGTCTAAGGAGAAAAAGAAGAAGGATAAGCATGGAACAATGGAGATCATGGAGGGATATAAAAATTGGCTTTCGACTACTGATATAACTTTCCATCATTTAGAAATGGGATCCTCACAAGAACCATTTTTACTGCAAGAACAACATGAGATCACTCAGAAATCATTAACAACCGCATTAGAGTTAATGCTTGATAAACGGAATTTTCCAATTCTCATTCATTCAAATAAAGGGAAACACAGAATTGGTGTTTTGGTTGGATTAATGAGAAAGATTTTACAAGGTTGGTGTATGAGTGGTATATTTGAAGAGTATGAGAAATTTGCTATGGGCAAATCTGAGTTTGATTTGGAGTTTATTGAAATTTGGCAACCTGAGCTTTTAATTGATGAGAATAACTTACCAAATTTCGTACGGACTGCTTGAATAGGGGAGTTTTTTTTTTTACAGATGATGATTTGATGATTAAAATAAATACTCATATATTGCACTTATTATTGATAAGTGTTAAGAATAAATAATTCCACGAAACATTACAAAATTTACATATTATTTTTCAATTCTCTTAACTGTGATACGATATCACCGGATTTAGTTACACCAGTAATTTTTTGAATTTCAGGATCATTAACTCTCATAAATGGATTGAATCCTAATTCATCACCGATAGTGAACTTACCCGTAGTAAATTCGTTATTATTAACGAATTCTTCTAATTTTTCCAAAGCCGGATTATTCTTTAAAACGGTCTTGGAAAATTTAACATTGGATTTTGTATATTCATGACCTGGGAAAACTAGAGTATCTCTTGGTAGCTTAGCTAAGATTGAGTTTAAAGCCACGTCCATTTCATCACCAGTTCCTTCGAAAAATCTACCACAACCACTGGTGAATAAAGTATCCCCAGTTATAACTGCTTTTTCATCAGTTTTCGAATCCTTGATGTAATAGCAAATAGAATCTTGGGTGTGGCATGGTGTATGTAAAGCAGTTATTGATAAGTTATCACCCAAATCAATCACCTCTTCATGAGAAGGAGTATATGAAACTAAAGGTGAGTCTTTACCAGCAATGATTGGCAAGTCCGGATACTTTGAATGGAATTCAGCATTACCGTCAGAATGATCATAATGGTGATGAGTGTTAACAATTGCCTTCAACTCAAACGAAGGGTTGTTTGCTTTGAAGTATTTGTAAATGTCTTTGGGAGTAGCTGGGTCGATAATCCAAGCGTGCTTGGTGGGGGAATCAACTACTAAATAAGCGTAGTTGTCACCAGTGCCCCATCTCATAGGAATTGACTCAATGTGCATGTTTCTAATTGTCGATTTCAATGACCTTGGTAGTCTCTGCGTAGTTAAGCTTCTTAAGAACATTGCTAATCAAAACCAATTGATAATAAGAGACTTCAGTTTATAGTGTATAGCTCGAATTCCGTTGGTGTACGGGTGTAATGCCTAGATTTGGTAAGCTGCAATGTACAAGGTAACTTAACAGCCTGAAGGTTCAATATACTGGTTTTATCACCAAATAAACTAATTTATAATTTGAGTAATATACAATACATATATATATATATAATTTTGAGAGAAGATATTATTCGTTATTGGGCTATATATGGAAGTGGCAAACGTTATCAGTTTGCACAACTTTACGTTTTTTTTCTTTTTGCAATTCTACGAGTCGCTTTCTTTGATGGTTGGGGTTAACAGTGTTACTTATTCGAAGGTTTAGAATTCCAGGAGTTGGCTTGCATACCTTCTGGAGGAGTAGTTTCAAATTTCTTATCCTTGGCCTCGGACCAATTGGTTGTAAGAACGGTACCATTAGATTCAACGTAAGATTTCATCATGGCTCTCCTTGTATCTTCATCAACATCTTTATATAATTTAGCAAAGAAATCACCTTCTTCGTCATCTTTTGAATCATCGTCTTTAAGATTGAATTTATCCCAATTGATGGCCTTCTTGGATGAACTAGGATAAGTTAATGCTGCATTGGGTTCATTTGAAGTGCTAGAGGTAGGAACAAAAGATTGATCCACCTCTGATGCTTCTAACGACGACCATTTAATCTTTTTCGATTTTGCAAGAGTTACTTCTAGTTTAGTACCGTATATCTTATACTTTGAGTTTTCCACGTCAATCTCATCAAACAAAGGATCCATATTGTAGTTGTATTCAGATCCTGTAGCACTAGGAAACAGAACAGAAACCGATCTTTTATCAAAATCGATATTCAATGTTTCTTCTTTGACATTTTTGGCGTAAATAGTAATGATCACAGAATCACTCGACTGATACCAGTCATCTCTGATCTTCACGTTGAGTGGTGCTTGTTTGTTAATGACGTCGATATTTGTGGATGCAATTGGAGTTTCTTTTTTGACAGATTCCAGGGCCGAGCCAGCCAAAGCCTTATCAATTTCATCGTCTTCGGAATCCTCTTCGAGGATTTTAGGATTTTTCTTGATCTCGTAGTCGATTTTGTTTTGCCATATATCCAAAGTTGATTCAGTGCAACCAAATTCTTTCGCTTTCTTAAAATTGTTATATGCTTCCTTGAATGATTTCTCTTTATAGTTGATTAACCCTAACTTGAAATAACACGAAGCCTTGTCATTTCTCTTACCTCTCTTTTCAGCTATAGTGAAGGCCTCGGAAATGTCTCTTTTGGCAGCATCATTATTGTTAAACTTAACATACGCAGCACTTCTCTTCAAGTAAGCTTGAAAAGCTTCTGGGTTTTCTTTCAAAGCACTTGTATATGCAGAAATTGCACTTAGAAAATCCTTATCCGCAACAAACTTATCGCCTTTATCAATTAGTTGTTCGACTGCCATACTTGATCAATTCTATCTGTATCCAAAGGTTTGAGCGAGGTGATTGCGTTGATTTATCAATACTTTTTTTTCTCTCAACTTCTTCTAGTCGTTTCCATCAATGTGCGCAAGCACACATAAATTAGCAGCCTAAATTGACTAGATGAAAATAGAAAGGTTGTCATGATTGGAAGGAGGTCCAGTTGATCTTGTTGGTCATCTTACATTGTTTTCTGATTAAACTATGGTTAGCAGAACAAATATCTCTGTTTCAACAACTAAATGTACTGTAGTTCATAAAGACAAGGATATTACGGTCCTGTCTGGCTAGAGCAAAACAATGTTGGTACAAATCACCTTGAAAGTATCGACTGATTTTGGTCAGCAGTAATGATTGCATACTGCTCTCCATTTCTGCAAAGACAATGCAATTTTCATTCGATTTTTGCAGTAAATTGGACTTTTTGACAAAATTACACAAAATTAATAGAAAAATTAATAGCTATAAAGAATCAGTTGATGAATATTTGATTTATGTACCGAAGTCTATTAATGCAAAAAGAACATAGTTACCAAAATCTCTGCCAAAGAGTTAAGTCTCCCCCAGCATGAGCTTTTCTTCGTTCTACGTTTGGTAACATAATCCATATAACTATAGTTAAGGTGTATAATGCAATGAAAATAGGTAGTATAACAAAAGTCCCAGCGGACTCTGATACAAGACCAACAACAAATGGGAAAATGGCGCCACCGCTTGAGCCGAAAGCTGTCATTATGGTCAAACTTACAACTTGAATTTTTCTAGGTAGCATACCTTGTGTAACTGCAGTGACCATCAAAGAATAATTAGGTCCTATAAGGACACCAGCTAAAGACACGAATACACCAGCACTAATCACATTGGGGATAAGCCAAGTTAATAGAACCAATGCGATGGTAATTGTAGATACTATAAGAACGCTTCTTCTTGCACCTAAAGTTTTATGTAAAGGTCTAGTGACAAATAGCCTACCCAAGGTTAAACCGCCCCAAAATCCAGAGGCTACATAACCTGAGCTATTGTCAGCACCTCGATAATCCAATAAAAAGGTAACAATCCATCCACCAATGGAAACTTCAGCACCCTGGTAAAATAATAACCAAAAGGAGATCAACCAAGTGACTGGGTGTTTCAAAGCCATTGCCATTTGGCCCTTATTATGAGGAGGCGGCTTCCTTGTTTCAAAATTGATTTCATCACCTGAATCGTCCGAAGAAGTATTATTTACTTCTGTTGTTCTAATATTATAATAATCGTCTTCATTAGGGTTATCCGAAGAATTTTCGTCATCCCAAGGTTTCAAATCCTCATCAGCGCCTCTGAATGCAATCCAAACACTTAAAACATTGAATGTCATTAACGAAAGATTGATCAAGTAAAAATAATGCCATTTTATCCCAGCGTTTACCATCGAAGTGGCTACAAGCGGAGAAATTGTTGCACCAATCCCATAAGAGCCATGGAAAAACGACAAATATTTGGATTGTTTTTCTAATTTAGATAAGAAAACATTGGCTTGGGTTAACACAATTGCCAAACCAATCCCACCAATGTAAAAAGACGCTGCCACTAGTCCATACGGACCGCCACTCAGAGTGATGGCGTACGATATACTAGAAAGCAAACAACCAAACAGTAAAGATTTCTGTTTGCCCAAATAAGGCTGGATTTTACTGGCTAAAAATGCAACCGTAATAAACCCACAAGCATTAGATATCCAAATCATTGAGACTATAGTATAATTAATGTTATAATACTGCTCAATGTGAGGCAACAAAGCACCAGGACCAGCGTCAGACCATCCACTTGCAATTGCCCAAAAACAAACAGATACAATTCTCCAAATGTTCATTGACGGGTTTCTTGAAGTCATTAAATTTTTATCCGGAACCGGCTCTTGTTCTGGAAGTTCAGATTTCACCGCATCTTCAACATCACTTGCAACTTTTGTATGTTGAGTCAAAATTGAAATTGCATCATTGGAAGGTCTCGTGAATACCGGTGGTCTCTTGATAGCTTTATCAGCTATCGATATGACATGGTTTCTCTTTTCGTCAATTTGTTTACTTGATAAATCACCAAGTTCAAAAGAAGGGGTTTTGTTACCCTTACTTCCTTTTTTTTGACTTTGACTTTGGTTCAGCCCCCACTTGAATGTCATACCTTAAGCAGCAGTGGAAAGAAGACTCCATAGAGAAAAAGCATTAGCTGAAACTAATTTTAAAGTTTTAAACTATTGAAAAATGAAACAATAGATTGATTAATTTTTTTTTCCATCGAGATTTGCAATTTTTTTCATTTTCATTAATAATATTCCGCATGTATACCTTGTTACTAAGTAGCAATTTGCAGTAATAAAAAAAAAACAAAATCGTTTACTGTCTACAAATGTAAATACTGAAAACTTATTTTAATAATATTTAAATTAACTAATATACATGGGTCAATGCAAAATATTCATCCTTGACAAATACTATACTTGTCCAGCAGCTTGGACCAAATCAAGGAACTTTTCTTTTGATATTTCGTTCATTAATTCTTCTTTTTGGGTTTGGCCAACTTTTTCACCACTGATTTGTTGATTTGTTTTGATTTGAGTAGATAAAACTGCATTGAATAATCTTACAACCCCCCTTTGGGCTACTTTCTTCAATTTTTTTTCATGCCCAATCAAATCACGGACTTTTTCAGGTTCGTCTGCAGATGGAAGCAAGTTCTTCACTCTATGTTTATCGTGTAACTGTTTTTTTTCTGATAATAACAATTTTTTAGCTTTTGCTTCTAATTTATCTGACTCTAATTTTTTCAATGTGGTCTTGTTTCTTGCAAGAATTGGATCGTTTCTATCGTAAGCTTTCAAACGAGAACCGATAATGGCACTGAATGCATTAGAGAAGGATTCAGATCCATCATCCAAGTTCTTTTTCTTCTTCAATTTGGGTATATTTTCTTCATCACTTTCATCTTCACTTTCATCTTCCCCTTCACTTTCATCTGCACTAGAAGCCTCATCGGAAGAAATATCCTCAACGTCAACATCATCGTCTTCATTCAAGTCGTCAGACTCAATATCGTCTAGGTTACCTTGAGTATCGGCCTCTTCTTCACTAGAGGAGCCATCTCCTTCCACCTCAACAGTTGCTTTTCTAGCACGATTTTCTTCGGTGCTCTTGCTTGGCTTGCTTATCCTTATCAGACCTTTCAGGCCCACCTTTTGTTTCTTCAATGCGGAACCCATCACTAGTGATTATCGTCTTACTAGTTGTACTTGCTAAGAGATGCTCATCCTTTAAAAGTGAAAAAATCAAAAAAAATTAGATGGGCCAAAGAAAAAAAAAAAAAAAAAAAAGAACAGAGGACAATATGCAGTTCCGATTGTCTTTTCGCATCCTTCGACTACACCTAATAAAGATCCAGTGATGTATTGAGTGCTAGATGGTTGCTCTAGATAAGCTTGTATGAGAAGAGACTCTGGAGGATAAGGCCCTGCTGAGGGACTGGTTGTAGTGGTGCCTCAAAACAACTCTTGCGTTTCCTTGCAGTTGTCTTAGTAGTTGCTGGATTGCAAGCTGTCTTTCCAAGTATAGTCTGTACAAATGCAACCGGTGAGCGTAGTTGCACATATTGGTGTTAGTCTTCGCAAGTGGCAAGTTGGGTCTTGTTTTGACAAAGTTTTCCATGGTTGGAGTATAGTCACTTTGTAGCACGTCTGTCATTCTGTATAATGCAAAAACCATTTGCCTTGGTGGTGGGATGTATGCTGGAACATTGGGTAAATTTGCAAGCGAATCAAATTCAAACGTTATGGAGGCAAGCGTGTTTTCCAATGAGTTATGATCGACTGGCAGGGTGCTGCGACGACGGACAGGGGTGGGGATGGTTGGCTGAATTGTTTCCAGTAATGAAGTGGGTGCTGTGCTATACGATTCATTTGATTTCACTGAAAAGGTGTCGAAACTCGTTGATTCATTTTCTCGGGTTGACATGTTACTTTGCAAATTTAACTGGGAGGAGCTGTAGAAATGTAAGGAGGTGTCAAAAGAAAGGTCGATAACGTATATTTGGTTCATCATATCTTGTCAGCTCATTAGTAACACGGCTTCAGTAGGAGCTGCTAAAACATTTATACTTGGTATTATTTTTGGTATGTTGAAATTTTGCAGCATATCTGCAAAACGGTTTTTAATTCTCCCCGAAATCCCCATGCTTCGTGGACACTTACAATTAAGCTTTGGATGTTCAAACGGACCACTACAGAATAGTCTCCTAGGCATTTCCGGCTGCTAAGCTGACGATGGATACTCTTTGACTCACACTATACCCAAAAGAAATCGGGTCACGTGACGTGCGGGTAACTGCAATTCCGAAAAAAAAAAATCATTGAAAATTCTGACAGAGAAAAAAGATTTCAATTTTTCAAAGCTTAGGATTGGTTTTACTCCATATTATCAGTTAACTAGCATACACTTTCCAATACCCTGCATTTCATATTCAACCTGCTCAGGCTTCGAGTTTAGCGAATACATACAGGAGTCCCATACACCGATATAGAAGCACGCAAATCACAACGAGTATACGAGTAATAAATTGAAGAAAGAAACGATGTCTTGGTTATTTGGCGGCAAATCAGAAGAACAAAAACAACAGGAATTAAAACAATCCTTAGGGTTTGACCCATCACAAGTTAGCGATGTGTCAAGTTTCTTACAACCAGGAGTTTTAGACACTCAAAGATTACATCCATTAGCAGGATTAGATAAAGGAGTTGAATATTTAGATTTAGAAGAAGAACAATTGAATGATATTGAAGGATCCAAAGGGTTAATTCCATCAAGAAGTTGGACTGATGATTTATGTTATGGTACCGGTGCAGTTTATTTATTAGGTTTAGGTATTGGGGGAGCTTATGGATTTCAAGAAGGAGTTAAAAATTTACCTAAAAACGCTCCACCAAGATTACAATTAAATACTATATTAAATCATATTACTAAAAGAGGTCCATTTTTAGGGAACAGTTCTGGTGTTTTAGCATTAACTTATAACCTTGTTGATTCAAGTTTAGATTCAATTAGAGGTAAACATGATGATTTAAATTCTTTATTAGCTGGTGGATTAGCCGGTGCATTATTCAGAAGTAGTGCTGGTATAAGACCAATGGCCTATTCTACTGCTTTAATGACAGGGGCAGCAGCTGCTTGGTGTGGATTGAAACGTTTATTAGCATAAGTTAAATAATGCTAAATATTATATACTGTACATAGATAATAATAATTAGTTTAAGAAATTATTGTAATTTTCTTTTTTTATTTATATGGTTTTCTTTATCAGAATCTTTAAATTGAGAATCATATTCATTGGATGGTATAAGTTTATCTTTCATGCAATATTTTAATTTAATTTTATCATCATTTTCAATTTGTTTAGCTAATTTATAATAATCCTCATTTGATTTTAATTTGCAAAATTCATTATAATATTTCAGTTTGCCCGGAATCTGATTTAGCAAAACGTATTTTGTATTAGTTGGATGATTATCGAATTTTATGGCAGTTTCAATAAATTCAATTAAGACTTTTGACCAAGTCAATGGATTTTCCTTATTGAATACTGAAGGATTTGATTCGGCAGACTCAGCAATCATCCCACCAACATTAGCCAAGCCCAAATTGGTTTTCAAATTCTCAAAATCATGACGGGACTGTAATGCTCCATTTATTATACAACTTATATTCTTTGATTGAATGTATTTAACTAATTCAGGTAAGAAATTATGTATTGGATGATCTCTATTTCTCATATCTCTAGTACGACAATGAATGGTGATGTTTTCAATACCAGTGGTGACCAATTTCTCCAATAATTCAAGAGTTGGCTTTGCATCTTTATCATCCAATAATCTTATCTTACAACTAATTGGTTTTTTATTGGGTTTCCCGATTTTCTCCACTAAATTTTGTAAAATCGCCACTAATTGAGTAGGATTGGTTAATAATGCTGCCCCCATACCAGAATGGGTGGAAAATGGTTTGGGACACCCACAATTTAAGTCTATCCCATCAACGTCTTTTATAATTTTTGATGCTGCTTGTACTGCTAATTCTGGATCCGATGATCCAATCTGAAATATAAGTTTACCCGATTCTAACTTGGGGTAGGTACGAAAGACCACTGGGGCCCTTTTGGTTTTCTTTGTAGGTTTGAAATTAGAATCAATGAAATCGATTGTATTCAATTCTTCATTTGCAATTCTAGTACATTGAATTAATTTTTTATCAACAATTTCTGGACTCCAAACGAGATCGGCCCCGTGGTTTAATGCCATGATCCTGGTCGGGAGCTCTCCCGACCTCACCATAGGCGCAAGACATAGCTTATTAGCGTACATGGATCGTGGAATAAAGATTTTCTTCAAAAAATTCATTAACTTAAATGGGTGTAAAACTAGCCTTGATTGGAAAATGGTTTTTCAATCCAGTGATGATGAGGCATGGGTCTTTTCCAAAAAACACCAGCAAGTAGTGCGCGTGCCACTCCCTGATTACAGGTTACCATAGAACCTGCAATCGGGCGCGAATAATTTGCAACATCGGTGAGACAATCACCGATGCCCAAGCTTACCCCGTATTCATCAAATCAACCATGTCTGGCCATTGCTAGACCGTGTCTAGCTAGTCTACCCTACATGGTGGTCAATTGAACCGACCAGATCTGGCACATTACTGCAATGGAACCGGTCCTCACGTGACCAGTTTCATGTCACAAAAGAAATGTTATCTGCATCCCGGATTGAGTCACAAGATAAAACGAAATCCGACCAAACCCGATAACTGGAAAAAGAAAAGGCAGACAATCAAAAAACCCAAACAAAAAAAAAAGCTTTAGAGTTGTAAATCCGAATTTTACAACAGAATGCCTATTGAAAAGGCAAATACGAAGGACCGCCTTTGGTTTGAAATACTGGTCTTTTCCTTTCAATGTATCGTGTAATGAATTGTCGTTGCAATACTTTACAATATCCAATTATAACTGGGGTAAAACTAATACGTTATCAAAAAGAAACAATTGTTTATCTGGAGGAGGGTATGGATGTTTAGTCAGGTGTTTTCATTTCGGATTAAACTCTACGTGACTACACTTTATTGGTACGAAACTGTAGGTGAAGTTGCCGGACGAAGCGGGATACTGCCATTGACCTTCAATTATCGGTGCCCTTTAATCAATTAGTTGTATTAGCAGGATGAAAATTTTTTATTATAAATCGAAAGGCAGAAATTGGCGGGTCGTGCACAGAAGCAAATGTAAAAAGCATTGAAAAATTTGCACCCTCCTGTACACAGCGCATCCATAAAGGGTAATAAAAAAGAAATATGAAACAAAAAGTCGGTGAAATCACTAACAAAGTAAAAAAAAAAAGA